GTTACAGTAACGCTTGTTACGGACAAGTTATGTTTAATACGCGTTATAATAGAGCGATGTTCTGTAATAGATCGTTGATCAAAAGATATGGCAATTTTCAGCATGGATGTTTAATACATGGTGTGCCTTTGACAACTGTGGGACAAAGTGATTTTGAACGTAAAACATGTATATACATTGTGTATATTCTGTGCTTTGTGTCAATTTTGTGCTTTATGTGTGTAGATATCATGTGCCTTCTACGTATGTACATATATATCATATACATAAGCGAAAGATTGGAATTAAGTATACAAAATTTCTTAACTGCAGTTTTTATCCATTACAGTATAATAGATTCAATCCTATATGTAATCTAATCCAATATTTTAATAATAAATCAACAAACTAAGTTATCAAAGAACAAAAGTTTTTCATTGCCAGGTGATTAAATTATTCTAATTTATCTAAAATCAATTAATTTTAATTAATCTATAATTTCCAATTTCAAACATTATAATTATATAAATACATTATAAATATACAAATGTACGAAATGCTTGTAATAGAAGTATACCTTTAAAGAGTGTCTTGATTACAAATAATAGATTTCAAAACATTCCAAACTGAATGACCACCCCGTACATTCACCTACGTGCACACGTATAAGAACTACGAGGTTAAACTCGCCCCAAACTGGAACTCTTCCTTCGCACTTGAAGAGAAAACGCAGTTTAGGATTTATTATCCTGTTAAAACTTCGTTTAGATAAAGCATTCGTCTCCATGAACGGCACCATGTATCACGCAACGAATGAGTTAAATACTCTATCCTTTCACTAATAATCATGAGATAAAAGATCAAATGTTTATTAATTTACGATATTTCTCGGATTTTTATATCTCAGCACAAATATTCTTTATTTGAAACGAAAAGAATATTGATTCACTCGAAATGAAGAATTTGCACGTATCGTGTATTAACTAATGACGAGTGAAAAATAAAAAACAAATACTATTATGCATTGAGATGGAATTGCATGAATTTATGAAACTTTTTAATACTATAATTTCAATTGTTTTAACATTACATTTTCAACTATAATTAATATTAAAATATAGGCACTTGGAATCAAAAGATGATTTTTAATTTAATACAGAAATATAGTAAGTTATCAAAAGTTAGTTCTTACATAATTTGACACACAACAAAGATGCTAAATTTTAACAGAAGATTATAGAATAATGGGAAATCGTTATTTTAAAGGAACTTTATTTTATTTTACTCTACTTACGCAACGATGAAGAATACGACAAAGCTCATAAAATTTCGCTTTAAAAAATTATTTCTTACATTACGTTTATGCTATAGATATTTTTAACGGCTGCGAACTATCTACGAAGGAAGAAAAATGCATCATTCCTAGGTTTAAAGCAAGATACTCGATAAATGGCGATTTCACAATATGAAAGAAGAAAAACACAGGGAAGAAGTTCGAAATTAGAAAAAGTAGTGGTAGTTCAGCAACCTACAGACTGACAGTAGAGTACACGTACTCGACAAAGACACAAGGAGTTCATAAATAATCGAAGCGCTGAAGCACGATGGTGGTTTTCGCATGAAACATTGATCGGCCGATGCGGACATTACAGTTTATAATGAAATAAGTAAACAGTAAATCGTTTTTAAACCTCGCTACGCGGAACCTAACTATCGATGTTTCAATAATCGTTACGATAATTTGTTCTCCTAAATTTGTTAATTAACGCAACGCACCCCCCGTTTTGGCAGCAAGTCTCTTTCTCGTACGAAACTATAAAACGAAAATCTCAATTATGGTCTGTCGGCACATTGAAAGAATTTCTGTTGGTTTCTCTGAAGGAAAGACCCGATAAATTAAACGTGGAATTATGCAAATATAAATTAGATGTAAATAAATGTTGAATGCCTCGAGAAATTCAATCTCAAACAAACGATTCGAAACGAAAGAGTGGAACAATGTTTGACGTTGCATAAATTACAGAATATTTTGAAAACGTTTAATACCTGATTTACAATGTTTTCCATTACCGAATGAGAAACGACTGGTCGATGCCAATTGGCTGCAACGGATTCATACAAGCTTGATGAAAGCACACGCCACGGAGAATTCCCGCTAAATTGTTTTGACAATGAATCCTCCTTTATTGATATTTAATAAAACAATGACCACGTTTTCCAAGTGATGTAGAGGACGGAAATCAATAATGCTATTTGAAGATATTCTATTTTCGAAGTTCGTTAGAGGAGAATCTCGATAAGTAAGACAATTGAAATAGCAAATTCTGTGTGAACATGATTTCGAATATTTTTTTTTTTTAAGAAGCTATTTCAGTTGAACTTTCGGTTTCAATTTTGAATTTAAACTTTGAGCATTAAGTTAAATGTTATATTAATGACATTTGTCATAAACTTTTTATTTTTAATTGGAAACATTTTTATTCAATTATTTATATACAATGCTTATGTAGCATTTGTAGTACTTAAATCGTTCTTGTTGAATTCAATACGCATTGCAAACTCCGACTTCGTCATTTTCATAAAAACGTACATGTATCACCCATGATCTCTAAACTGTGCGTTGTATTTACTTATTCTTTTAATATTTTGATTAATATTCTAATAGAATTTGAAGACTGATATTTTGACTTTGGGCTAATATTCTAAATTAATGTTTAGAGTGTCAATATATGAAATATCAACCAAAAAAAAAATTACGTGGCACCGTTCGAAAGAATAAATTAAAGATCAGGAAAAAAACCTGTGAAAGCACGGATCTCGTTACAAAAGTTTGAAATTGTATCGTGTTACGGACGTTTCGATTTTTCTCGAATAATGTGACGATATCGCTTGTGCGGTAGCCGAACCTTGCAATGTGCCGCCAGTGACAGATGCGGCTGACGCAAAATGTCCCATATAATATCGATTGCCACGGCATAGAGGCATATCTGGACAAAACGAAACCATAAATTCGCGTCGCAACTGCTATTAATACGACGCCGGAAAAAGGAATTGTATTAACCCTTTCTCCCCTAGCTGCTTGATTATCGTCAGTTTCGGTGAAATTTTTATTTCTTTTCTTATCCGTGATATAAGGATCAGGAAATATGATAAATCTAGAGCATAGAATTGTGCGGTTCATAATAATTATCAATCGTTATCATAATAATTATCAATCATTTAAATCTATATTTATTATTAAATATTTTAATATGTTACGTTTTGAGGTAAAATTGAAAATGTATACAATAAATATGATAAAATAAAAAAATAATACTGTACGTTTCTTAGTAAGATAAAATTTAAAAATTGTTTGATTCGAATGAAGATTCAAAATAGTTCTATATTTTCTGTAATATATTCTATATATTTTAAATAAAAATTGTATTTTTGTGATACCAAATAGGTATGTATTTTTATATATATGTATGTGTAAAAAGTTGTATCTTTTCTAAAAGTATGATTAATGTTTCAATTCTAAATGACATAAAAAATATTTTTATTTTCGCAAATACGCCGTTTATTTTTGTTATCACCGACTATAATTTCGTTGAGAACGTAAGAATAGTATAATGGACCCTATGGTCACGTTCAATTTTAGTAACACTTCGACCCTAAAATATTCTGCCGAGCAACCCCAGCAACATTTGACAAGCAAACGAATTCGATTAGCAAATCTCATAGGTCACGGGTAGCCACTTTTGAAATAACATCAATTTAACAGGATGAATCGTAATTTACACGCCTTTATACATTACATGTCTCCACACATGCATGTTTACTTAATCATATTATATTTCAATTTAAATAGAGAGAAAAAATATGAAACATTTCTGCAAAAATTTGAAATCTATAACATAATTTGTTAAAATTACCAGAAAAAAATTTCTTTTTAGCATTTATTACAATATTTTATATTATTTCAAAAGACGTAAAAAATGTAAAAAAATAGTTGTGAAATTAAATGTAATAAAAATATTTTAAATTAACAGACTTTTACTACGACAAAACGACAGGAATTAGCAACTAGGAAATAACTATTAAAAATTAACGTAACAGTAGTGCAGAAATTATTAATTAACTTGGATACTTCAAAAATCCGGGAGAAGCTAAATTCAAGTATCCAGTGTCAAAACTATTTTTAGAATATCGATCGCACGGCCATGTTGAGTACATGGAGTGACCTCTGACTGGATACTTTTGCACAAAAGAGCCGTATAGTTTTTTTCATCAGAAACTGACATTGAGTTGCAACTTTCAACCGACACTTTGTAAAACTAATTTTCTTCTACCTATCGAACTAAATCTTCTTCGGAACTTGCTACAAAATACTTGTATACCTCCTTGCTACAAAAGACGCAGCTTAAACATTATGCCCTTTAAACTGTTATCATAAAAAAATCTTTAACATTCTTTATGAATAATAAACTGAAATTTTCAAATAAAAAAGAAAAAAAGATACGACAAAATTAAGATAAAAATTCATTCCGTTGACCAAAAAAAAAAAAAAAAAATAAAAGTTTAAAAGTACCTAACAAAATGGCATATTACGTTCAAATTTATTTTCATATTTTCAGAAATTATCACCCGATAAAACTGCAAATTATTTATTTAGTATTAAATAAATAAAACGAACTCCTATTCAAAATCCAATTCTTCGATTTAATTCATCGAAATATAAAATCCGTGCGTAACTAGGAAAAAAAGATAAATTAAATACATTTTACTAGTGTCACTTTTAAACGAAAGCCACGTTATGTGTCCCTTGTATAATATAACATCAATCTTACATCCCTTCTGAAACTTAGATCTCTGCAAATCGCGCCACTTTCACATCAACGTGAACAACGTTACAGGATACACTCTAAGGCGTTCTCTAAATTCATTTAAAGAGACGAAACGTTTCTTCGAAAATTCTGTTACGCCTGATGCATGATCCCTGATTCTTCAATCAGTGTCACGTGTCGCTTTTAACGTTTCAGGGTGACTTATTCGGGGGTCTGAACAGCGGTCTACAAGACGGCTTACTTTCGAGGGCGGAAGCTTTGGCGGCGGATTTGGGAAAACACAACGCGGGCACCCCAATGCCTTTGAAGCACGACCCTGTTTCCGTCTATCATCATGGAGCCCACATGCCAACCCCCCATCCAAATAACCGGCCACATCATCAGGTACATTCACACCTCTTTGTGAGTCTGCATTTTTCGCATACTATACTCGTACGAATTGCTTCTTCTGCCTACGCGTTAATTTCATTGCTGAATAAATAGATTTTCATTTATTTTATCGTCATACGTAAATAAGTTCTAAGTCCATTTTACATAAATTCTTTTCTGTATTTTTTCTAATCGCTGGCTATTTCTACGTATTAATTTATTTCATTGGTTTCATTTGTTTTATTATCATTCATGCAATTGATAGTTAGTTCTAATAAGTTGCTAACGATTGCTCTGATAGTTAGTCTAATAAGTTAACTGTATAATTGAATGTTTTAATCATTCGATGTGAGTTGTATGGATTGATTTCCTCGTCTAATGTTAATTAATTTCGTCGACGAGTGGATAGATCTTCGTTTATTTTCTCTGTCGTATAATTAAGTTCTAATCGTTTGGACGATTGTATATTGCAATAAGATATAAGCATATCGTTAATATTTAATGTTTCCTCTTCTTAACAATAATTTTTTTGATTTGAGAACATTTTCTTAGAAGTTTCTGCTTTCTAACAATAGTCCTATTAACATTTTACTTGTCTTCGTCGATATTTATGGTCGATAGTAGATCGTCGATAATATTTTTGGTTCTACAATACATAATTCAATGAAGTCGACGATGGAACGAAGTAAAGTCTGTAGTAACATTCAGACTCGAATGAATTACGGAACAGACTAATTGTATGTGGCCTCAGAGGCACGATAATTTTGTTAAAACTTAATGCTGTTACCAATGACGAAGTTTATCGGCGAAACAATTATCGTAATGAAGTGTACCGAAACAATAACGGTCCATGTATAAAATTTAACGTTCGAGTACGATTATAAAATGCAACGAGTTTCAACGACGGCTTAAAACCATCAACAATAATTAATCGCGCATAGCAATTAATTATGGTTTATAATTAATCCGCCAATTAAAAAATTCAACCCGACCGATTCTTTATTAACGTCGCGTCGTTCGCGATATACGAGCAACAGTTTTCATTTTGATACGTTAATCATTGATATTTTTTTATATTTCGATATGCGCAAGTAATTATATACATTCGAACGTATAATTTTAATGTTTATCGATCTGTAAAATGTATATTTTGTTCCCGTATAAAATGATATTTCAAAAATAAAGAATTCTTCACGAACGAACGAAGGATAAAATAAAATTACAGTGAAACAAGAAAAATGAATTTATAGTTTGCGTGTAAAATGTGAGGATATTTTATACTGAAAGTTATCAATTTGGTAAAAATTATTCCGATATAAAATCTATGGAAAATTAACATTAACAACTTATTCTCACCAACAAAGAAAGTAAATAATTTCAATTGTCTAGCGACAATAGATCATTCGATTCATAAGATTCGTAGAAATATAAATCTAAATTTTCATGTATTAATTGCTTCAAAGATAGCAATAAGAAGGACAAACATGCGAAAGAGCAACGAATATCGCATTAATTCAATTACAATTTGCTGCTTGTCGTTTCGGGGTTTTTATGCTAATACAAGCAATCTGAGGCCGATGAGTGGATGATAGCATGACAATAGGGTGAGGCAAGCAATGTTCAGCGACCCGGAATGATCTTCTCGAGCTTAGGGGCGTTGCTCGTATATTATCTCGCCATCGGGACGATTCGTAACACACTGGGCGTAACGCAATCAATTTTGACAGAATTTTCCTTTACCAATGTTATCAATGTCACATTGGATTCTCTATCGAAATTGCAATGCGTAAGAAACATATTTGTTCAATTACGATTGCGTCAATGTAATTTCAGTATGAAGAATATACTTTCGACGACATAGATTTTCAACATATTTCAAAAGACAGTTGTAAAATATGGAATTAATGAAAATTATTCCACCTTAAAATGATTTTTACAGTGTAGGTGAAAAAACATTTTGAACACAAAATGGATATGGAAAAGCAGTTTTTAAACAGAATTACATTATTATTAAAAAAATGAAATGCAATTCAGTAAGAGTAATGCTTTTCATCCTCTTAACGCGTATTTATGTATTTAAAATAATAAGACGGGTAAAAGATTTAGTTTCAGTGTTACATAAAATCATAAAGCATTGAAATGAATATAGAGTCTATGGTGGTTAAAAAAATACGGATTCAATGAGTATAAAAATCATTAATTGCAGTGTAAAAAGTAAAGAGTGGGTAGTGAGTGTATTATCCCTCTTATGAATCGTAAAAATGTTGTGTATTTTATGAATTTGGAATTTTAAAAAATGAAATCGAAGAATGCTTTAATGATATCGCAAAACAATAATAGCGTTGATACATAGTTATGGCTTGGTTAAAAATTTACGAAGTGTAGTATGATTAAAACACGCGCACGTACGTTTCACGTGCTTTTATTTATGCATCGTTTTCCAAATGTGTTTTCCAAATGCAAATGCATTTTAAAACTGAAAAATATTCGATTGCGACGTTATTATATCTGCAATCCACCTATTATCTTCATGAAATATTTCTATGAAAGCGTCACTGATCAACGTATTCTCGATTGAAATATTACGTTTTTATATATCCATTTTTCCATTAAAATGTTAATTGTCTATATGTGCATTGAAAGTATCTCTCAGAGTTGCACAATTATAACAATGTTTAATATTCATATAGAAACGAAGAAAGAGAGGGTTGAACACAACTTTTTATCACAATAAAACAGAAAGTAACACAATGTTTTAAAAACTAGACTCAATTATAATTGAAATTTCGTTTATGTGCTTATAAGAGGAAAATTATTAGTCAATCCCAACTATTAATTATCAAATTAAAATGTTCGTAGCTATAATGATTGTCATTTGATGAGAGTATATCGATGAAATACATTAGTCAATGGAATAAAATTTCCAAAATGTGGACGTATGAATAAATAACTTTCAAATTACACGATGTTACACGAAGGGTGTTATCCTCAATATCCAACTGATAGATCTGATAGATATCCAACTGTCAAAAAGAGACATTGTTTGCCCCTAATTTTCGGAGTAATTCCGCATATCACCGATCTGTGTCGATCACAAACTAATCAAAGGTAGAGCGAAACATCGAGTGCAAAAGCAGTTGCATCGATCACGCTGAAAATCGGTTGACTATTAGTCGCCGGAGTATTCGTTGACCATGAAGTAGATGTATAGATCGCAGTTCTGGCTTCCCGCAGTGCGGTGGCATGAACACCACTTCTCCCACTTATAGCGCTCGCTCCTTCTCTCTCGCTTTCTCTTCCTTCTTCGCCCGGCCGCGGACCTCCCATACAGATGGTCAAACAGCAAGTGTCCCATAAAGTCTGTTTTTATACGCGACGCTGACGAATTCAATAACGGGTGTGCGTTTCTACCGGCTCGCCTAACGCGCAACGTATTACCTTCACGAATACGCATGTAACGAGTTTTGTGTCATTGGCACAAGCTTTGGGGAGCGAACCGAGCCAAAAGGGTGAAAGAGGAAGGGAGAGGGAGTCGTGGCGAGTGATACGGTTGTACAACGGAGCGAGGGTAAAGACGAGAAAGACAGAAACACGTATATTCGCGTGTCTTTCTCTTCTCTGGATAGGTACACACGAAGAAGGAGAAAGAGCGAGGCGGATGGATAGATAAAAAGAGAGAGAAAGGATACGAAGGAACGAGAGAGAGTCGACTAACCCTACCGTCGTGTCAGCGTAATGATGAAATATTGCGGGGGTCTCTGGGGCCCTACCGTATACGCCCCTGGGCTAGTCCCTGGCTCACTCTATATTTGCCACCATCCTCTTTCAACCCCTGGTAGCTTCTCGCTCTTTCGTGCCGCCACCCGCAACCCCCTGCATTTCTGATGTAACTATGCTATTCCAGAGCACCCCTGGACCGAAACCGTGCCATCCAGTTAGCTCGCTACGCTGCATATTCTCGTGAGAATAAATGTTGCGTACACTCGAACGCGTGTTCCTACGCATACGCGTCACGCCCTGTGTACAGCGTTACGCAAACGTCCCGTAGGCGCATGTTCGCGCGAGCACCAATCGGAACCACACTCGCGGCATTTTTTCGCCGATTTATACGCGGACCTTCCACTTTTACGACCTTTTCCCCTGGATCTTAGCGGCCTTAGAACTATAAAACTGTAAGGAGTCACGTATTTACTTCGGCAAATCGCTTGTGTTATTACGAAAAGGAAGGGGATTCATATCCATAAATAAATTATTATTGCTACATGCATCTTGTTTGTAATATTTTTCTTCACAACGGAGTAAAGCTTCCTTTATCCAAATATTTTCGTTATTCGAATAGCTTAAAATCCGAATGTTATAGAATATATGTTAGTACATACACATTTGTAAAATCATTTGTTACTAGTATAAATCTTGTTTCGATAATGTTCAAATATTAAATGGGGGGTTTTTTTTTATAAAAAAAGTGTTGTTGTAAATCTTTGTAGGATACTAATCAAACGGTGGATCTAGTCGCGGAAAAAGATTTTTCCAGTGTTTTCGAAGAGAATTTAAATGTGAATTTTTATATTTTTCGAAGAACAGTATTTTTACTTTCTATAGGATTCTATTTTAAAGAAAAACAAACTTAAGATTGTCAAAGTGAAGGCTTCATGCTTTAAAATGAGACCAAGTAAATTATTTCTGAATCTTTTTTCTTTTTTTTTGTTAATGAAATTATCGACAATTTTTCATCGTTATTCAATTATGCTCTTCGCTACATGTCGAGGTACATAACGAAAAGCAGCGAGATATTTCAATAGAAACCAAGATGTATTAACACACTTGTCCATTGGCTTAACGTAGAAATTACATGCAATAAGCAAGACGATTCCTTTAAGCAAATAAAGTATACGAACAGCACTTAACGTTGCGCCTCTCTCTAGGAAGAAAAATATGAAGGGAGCTCATAAATAATTTGTAAGGGGTCGCGCACACTGAGCTCAGAACGACGACCACGGCACGTGCTGCATAATTGTGCGTGCTAGTTTGTACACGTTTTCTCTTCATCTTTGCCTCCACGTCCCCCCTTCCTATGCCTCGCTGCACTCGGTTGGTTTCATTCATTCTTCTTACTTTTAACAATGTTAATTGGAAGAATCGTGTAACCACGTTACCGTATTTTCGCTCTGATATCTTGATTTTTAAACACCGATGGATGCGCCGCACTCACGAGATCGAAATATTTTACGAGCGATGTTCCGATACATTTTTCATCGTTGCTGGTTTAAGCTACCGTTACGATTATTGATTTTACTTGATTATGAAATTTCTGCGACTATAAAGGGAACTTTGGAATATTTCATTGCACACCCGTTTGATTTATTTTCAAAAGATGTTTTACTCTTTACGCCAAGAAATATTGTAGGTTGATGTAAATATGAAATATTCGTTTAATTGTAGAGACTTCACACTGAAGCTAAAGAAATTATTAATTCACATTATAGTATATCTGTGATATAATATCATAGATAGACTGTATATTTTTCGCATCTTTGAGAATGTAATTTAATGTAAGTATATATAACGGAACATCGGTGAAAAAACAATTGTTATAGAAAGCAGTGTACTTTGGATATTTTATGCATCTTATATAATTTTGAATTTTAAAATTTCCTATAGATAAAATCCGCGCGTCTAGTAATATCTCTAATATGTTCTGAAAGTTATGTTTCAATTATTTCGACTAATTTCTTATTTCTTCTATAGTAAAATAATAATTAGATTGGTGCACATGTGTTTAAACCGTTGAATTTTGTTCTATCATTAATTATGAATATATTAAGGGAAAAGAAATTTACTATAAATGAAGTATATTCAATGTTGAAGAAATTCTTAATAACTTCTTCATTGAGACATTATAACCAAGATATTCCTGTGATTTTTTTATATGAACTTAGCATTCAGGGTAGATTAAAAACATTTATTATTTGAGCAATCTGAGCAATTTTTTTGATAAATTATTTTAAAAAAATTCATAAATCACAACAACTCTGTTCTAAAAGTTACTTTGAATCCTAAGATTGATAACACTTGCAAATTTAGAGTAATGAAACAAAATAGTCGTCGAAAAGACGTATTGCATCGTCCTTAATCCACGTGGAAATTACAAATGCAATTAAAATTTGACCGTGTAAAGAGACATTTGATGTGCAGCAATCTAACACGTTGTAGCATAACAAAGTTACTATGATACTAAGAAATTCAAACCAATTCGTTATTCAAACCAATCACGATCGTTTCAATATTTTTGCACTCACATAAGTGCTTCACTTTCGACGACTTCATTTTATACGAAGCACCAACTAAACTCTCGCAACACTTTACGAATCAAAGGCGTGTAAATTATGTTTTACAGATGAGCCATCCGGGAATGGAAAGTCTGGACATGTTAGACCCGGCAAACTCGATGACCACGTTAACGCCGATGTCGGAGAACACGGGCGGCGGGCCGGGTCATCACGCCGGGATCCACGGCCCCTCGGTTTACGGGGGCATGAACGGAATGATGGGTCATCATCATCACCACGGAAACCTAAGCGGCGGCGGTGGCAGCGTGCCGCATCCGGCTCATCATCATCCAGCAATGGCGGCGGCAGCTGCAGCAGCCGCTGCCGCCGGTCTTCATCCCGATGCGGACACAGACCCACGAGAATTGGAGGCGTTCGCGGAAAGGTTCAAACAGAGACGCATCAAGTTAGGCGTGACACAGGCGGACGTCGGTAAAGCGCTAGCGAATTTGAAGTTGCCGGGCGTCGGGGCGCTCTCGCAGTCCACGATATGTCGATTCGAGTCGTTGACGTTGTCGCATAACAACATGATCGCGCTGAAGCCGATCTTGCAAGCGTGGCTGGAGGAAGCGGAGGCTCAAGCGAAAAACAAAAGGCGAGACCCGGATGCCCCGTCGGTTTTGCCGGCCGGCGAGAAGAAAAGAAAGAGGACGAGCATAGCCGCGCCAGAGAAACGATCGTTGGAGGCGTATTTCGCCGTGCAGCCGCGGCCGTCCGGCGAGAAGATCGCCGCGATCGCGGAGAAACTCGATCTGAAGAAGAACGTGGTCCGAGTGTGGTTCTGCAATCAGCGGCAGAAGCAGAAGCGCATGAAATTCGCGGCTCAACATTGACCCGAGGGTGGCTTGTGACAGCAAAACTGACCGTATCAGTTGCCCAGTCTCGAGCCTAAACCAGAACCCTTGACCGAGTTTCAAGGATGGCCTTGAATAGAAAAACGGACAATATAAGAGGACGAAGGACGCCATCGCTGTGAGGATAGAGAAGTGCAAGAAGCGGTAGAAGTGGGATTAACAGAGCACACTACTGGACTACTGGTTTTACGTAGTTGCTGAGAGAGAATCGTTGGAAGTGATGCGCGTACGACTTCTCGGTTTCAAGTGGATCGCAAACGTGCTAAGCTCGATGCTGCGGCCAAGTAAGCGATAGTCAAACTGTCACAGGCATAATACCAAGAACATACGTATTTAGCGGTCATATCGCGCGCGCGCGCGCGTGCGTGTGATGTTCTCGACGCGTCTGGCGGCGAGTTTTTCCACCGGAACCGACGATGCACGACGAATTGATTCGCGAGCCTCTTCCCTCTTCGGATTTACGATTTTCACTTAATTCACAACTAATTACAACTCCGATTACGATGAATAATAAATTTGTATAAATGGTGTTTACCGGTTCATCGGTTATCTATTATTAACACATCAGGTGAAAAATGAATTGTTAGACTGTTTGGCGTTAAGAAAACATCTCTCGAGTATGGCGTTGAGAACTAAATAATATTCCATTCTGTACGTGAAAATGGAAATATAGTCGATTCGACATTGTTTGTCAATTCTACTTTTCTTTCTTTTTAAGGAAAAATTTTTAATTCAGAGAACTGAACATGGAATCTGGCAACGTAATTGATAAAACAGAAATTCAACGACTATAGATAAAAGTAATAAGAATCGTCGATGTTATGTAGTGAAAGACACGATATATATTGCATGATGAGAATATCGTATAAAACGACGTAAAAATGCCCTTACGGAAACCCTAGATCAAATCATCTGTAAAGTGAGATAGAATTTGTGTAGCATATCAGCTACGATCGCGATAAAACAGTTTACGAGCGTATCCACTTTTAGACCAGCTTCTGCAGACTGGAAATCGTCGTTGACGCCGATTTCACGATCGCGGTTTCAAAGGTTACTGAATTCGGCATATTTCGAAATTTACACTTTCTGATTGTTCGTAACCCCATACTCCAGATGTATGGAATAATATTTTGTGCCTTGAATTTTTCATATTTTGCGTCTAATAAACGCAATATCAGAGATTGTAAACTATCTGACAAAATTATACCAAATATAATCTGATTAAATGTTTCCAAAGATTATAAATTATAAATATTACTCTAAGAGTATTTGAATATTGAAACGAATCATATTGAAACAGACTACGGAATAATTTGTATTATACGTTTACACATACAACTGTTCATAATCCATAAGACCCATAAAGTATACACAATTTGCAAAAGTAATTAAATACCAGGAAACGTTTGAATTCTAGATTCTCGTAAATAATTATATCGTAATGGACTCCAAAATAATTTATACTTTATATTTGCGTGAGCGTAATTATTTGCAATTTTAAAGATCTACGAAGTCTGTATTTGTCAACGTTAAAAATACCAAAAAGTATATATTCGAATTCTAAATTCTGTCGTAAAAAAAAAGAGGAAGAGGATCTTTCGCGAAAGAAGGAGAGTCAATCACAACGAAATAGTTGAATAATCGTCGGTGTGTCTTGGAAAGTACAATTCGAAACATAAAAAGAATATTAAAAATACGTATTGTTATAAAATCGACGCGCGAGTACGTTGCGCCGAAGGAATAAGTGATATTAATCCTAATGACGCTCAGTGCAGTGTAAAAAGTGAAAAGTTAGAGAAAGAGAGAGGAAGAGGTGTGTGTGCGCGTGTGTATGTGCGTATGTGCGTGTGCGTGTGATAAAAGTAAGAGTGAAACGTCGATGCATTCGAACCTGGAACGAATTCTCTTGTTTCTACGAATCAGTGTCTGTCTAATACTACGCTTAAAAGTGTTCCTGAAAATTTCGATTTGATAATTCAAAAATACATAAATAAAAAATTAAATCCAGTACATATGTGTGATTCGGGATAACAAATCTTTTTCCTTTTATAAAAAGAAAATTTTCCAATGAAACGAAAGAAAGAATCTCCAAAGTCTATTGAATATTTTCTCGGTGTTTGTTTAGTACCTGAAACTTTATATCTTTCACGACATTCGTTAGAAACCGAATTACACCTATCACGATATAAATATCTGCTAATTGCGTTTGCAGGATTTCAACTTATCGCTATCGCGAGTAATATGCAGACTTTACTGCGACGATAATTCGTTCCAGCGCAGTGTATCGATTAGTAAAACGCGCGAGACGAGGATGAAAGAGCGAACGATGGTGAGAAACCAAGACGACGAGAGTACGATGAAAAAAAAAAAGAAAGAAAGAAAGAAAAAAAAAAAGAATTAAGAGGATGCATTACGTAGTGATATTGGACAATCAATGAAAAGACTGTATCATATCATATTGAAGCAATACTGTAGCATTAGTCGACGAATTAACGAACTTAATTTGTATTTTTCGTGATCAACTGCACGTTCCTTGCGTTGCCAGAGAAAATTGCTTTCGCGAAAGCAACGAGAGAAAAACGCCTATTCGGTTAACTTCATCCCCGGGAAAATCAGTCTATTAAAACGCAATATTTTCGACGATAGATGCAGCATGATTCGAAGCGTGTAATAAACAACTTCGGTTTCGTGCGACGCTGGGAGCGCGGTTGATCGCGCGACGAACACTGAGAAATTGCTGATATCCCTCGAACTCTTGAAAACTGCTCGTTGTATTTCACGACCGCGGCTGCGATTATATTTTTGTTTCCTGATCGATTTCGCTGTCCCTCGCTGCGGCAACGAAACTCGCTGAATCGTGAATTTAAGAAAAAAGAAAGAAAAAAAAAAGAAAAAAGAAAAGAAAAACGAGAGAAAAAAAGACGAAATCCTCGTACAACTGTGCATGCCAGAACCGGTCACATGTCGATCGATCGGGAACCGGATCAAAACCCGAGCGCCCGAGAAACGATCGGGGAAAGTACGAAACCGCAGATATTATAATACCAGTGTATATCGAGCGCGTGATTAGGCCTGAGGTTTCTGCGCGCGTGTATCGAGCAATACCGTGAGGATGTTCGGCGATAAGAGAGCGATATGTCATTGTAATAGTTAAAATGTAAGGGGAAGGGTGGTAGTAATTTTTAAATTGTACATACGTAAGAAGATAGGTATTTTCTAGAAGAATAATAGTCTGTTGCCATTCTACTAGATAATGGAGTAAAGAAAATGGTTCTAGTGCAATATAGAGTTTAACGACACTTAATTATTATTATTATTATTACGATTATTATATTCGTTATTGTTCGTTATTTTCTCTCTCTCTCTCTCTCTCTCTCTCTCTCTCGCTATCTATCTATCTATCTATCTATCTATCTATCTATCTATCTATCTATCTATCTATCTATCTATCTATCTATCTATCTATCTATCTTTGACCAACATTGTCGCGCCTGTCGTATACACACACACACACACACACACACATACACACGGTCAGATTCATCGTTCCATTTGCTACACATATATACGTTCGAGAAATACTTTCCAGCAGCCTCGAACTTTATTTTCTCGTCCATTTCGAATGACAGTCTAACGACACACCGTTGTCAGGTGTCGTTAACGTCGAAAAACGTTGTACGTTCGAACAAACAGCTCTCGAAATAAGGCACCGGTTTATCGTTCAAAGACTATTCCAATTCCACGAGTATCGTTTCGAATCAGGCGGACAATTGCATAGCCTGTCGCAGCCAGTTTCGTTCGCATCTATCGATTTGTCTGTTTCCTTCGAGAATTATAGTGTTCGCCGGCGTGCACGATTCCCAGTGCACAATTGCTATGATGCTCTTCGGAGAATGTCGATATCGTTTTATTTAGTTCGAGACCGGGTAAGCACGTGTAAAGGCTAAAGGCGAGATGACCGAATCGAGCTTTCGAAACGCGCCGCGTCGATGTTTCGTTGATCTTTCTATCGTTTTCCAAGGACGCGACCGATAAATCTGCAAAGTATCCCAAAGATTTCTCTACGTTTTAAACGGAAGACGCTGAAGCAGACGCATGTACTATCATACATAAATAATTGGACGTCTAGCGCAATTTCATTAAAAGGTTGATGATTCTTGGTTCATCTTCATAGTCAGGATCGATGAACATTCCTCTGCTGTTAATTTTCTACTTCTTGCTATAACTGAGGTCGAAAATAATCTACTAAAATTTAATCTGAATCAAGGAATACGTCTGTATCATTAAAGTTTCATATTCGTTTCTAATAAATAGCTGACTCACTTCGTGAGATTTGTATAAACTTTCTGAATGTTTAAAAAATATGAAACTAAAAACACGCGTTTCAATTCTTCTTATATCTCAACATCGAACAGATATTTACAGATTAAAATCACTTAATTAAGATGCCTCTGCAAAGTTGAGCCCTGTTGCCTTTTTCATATTAGTTATTCAACGTGTAATAATTTATGTATAAATAATTACATAATTTAACTGTAATATGTTTTCTTTGCTTCTATTCATTTTACGACACATGTTACGATATGTTACATACAGTTACAATTAGATAAAAAACATTCATTTGTACCTTGCATATTTGCAATAACTTCGAACTGTCCAAATATGTACTTATGCACAATAGTGTATATACGTACATACTCGTTTCGTCTTGCAAAGCTTGCAAAGCTCGTAAATTCGTCAGATTGAATGATGCGCTCGTTTATTTTTCTATCGTTTCTTTCATCAAACATTCATCTCGAAATTGCAAAAGGGGGTAACAAGGTGAATGGTAAATTAAATAAAACATTAAGTAACAAGTTCCAATTATAGGCGCTTGTTAACACAAGACCGAGGGCTATACACAGTATCCCAGTCTAGAATTAGAGTTGTAAAAATATATATATATATATATATATGTAACGGGACTAATAATAAAAGAACCAAAATTGAGATACTTCGTATTCAGCCCTGAATAAACTTTCATCCCTTATCTTCCGATGTTTCTCTCAAACAATTCAGATTAAACATTTAATTTTGTTACAAACGAAATTTTCAATTCGCTTCAACTCCTCTTTAAAGTTCTATTTTGTCACTGTCAAATTTCGTTTCAAGGTTTTCAAAAGTTCCCAATGTCGTTTTGGAAGACTATGACAACCACATACACTTAATGCTAGCAGCGACGATTCTTATCGTAGAGAACAAGCGACCGTGTATATACTATTCTTTCGAGTGCTAAATTCTTCTTCTATACTTTCTCAGGAGGTTCTTAGCCGATCCGACGAACAAGTGATCCAACGAGGCACAGTCCGACCTGTTTGTGTAACGAACTCTTTCTCTCTCTTTCCCTCCTCTCCGCCCCCTTCGATTGACGATTCAACAAGACGATCCGAAAGAGCTCGCTTGACAACTCCTTTTTTAAGCCAACATACCAGCTCGTAGAGAAACGAGAATCTTTTAAAGAACGACACGTTCTGTAGACATTAAAGACAGGGTAACAAGTCATATCGCAATATGCTTTTAAACAGTTATTACTATTGTAACGTACATACATCTAGGAGCCTTGCTGTTTGGCGCGAGTAGGTATATGTGCCGTGAACATATTTTCCCCAATGAGATTCTCGACGATATTCGAAGAAAAAAGAAGAGAAAATAAAACGAGAAGAATCGCGTATTTACTTGACCCTTGAGTGGAGATATCGTGGAGACTATCGTGAAATAGATGACTATAGTAATTTATAATAAATAAATGGCCACTGAATTAGCATCATTCGAAATTTTTTCTACGTTTCTGCACGTTTTTTGGGAAAATCGTGGTATTTGGAGGAAATTGACTAGTTATACTATCACTGGGTATTTATTTTACGAACAGTTTATACTAGACTGTCAGAAAAATACATTTGGATCTTTAGAAACGTGTTATTAACCTGAAACATATTATGGAAAGAAAATTCGAATCGATATTATTATAGAGAACGTATTGGAAAGAGTACTTATACGTTGCACTGAAAGCAAAGGGGAAAAACATTCACTAGTAATATGTAACTATGTCCGTATAATTGCTGCGTACATTTTATTTGTACAGTTTATGTGCATGTATAGAGTTTAACAATTAAGAA